CAAGGAGGGCATATAAAATTTGAAAAAACGCAAACTTTAGTGTTAGATTGACGATAGTTCATGCAATAAAGCTAAAATACTATCGCGATATACTCGCAAGACATAAAACTAATCTACTCTTCAAGTAATATTTCATGATCTGGTGAAGGCTGTTAGATGTGATCACCAGATAACAGGGTGATCTCACTTGCTATTTGACAGTAATTGTGATTTTAGTTCAATTTATACTCTCCACATCTATTCCCTATAAACCATTGTAAACTGTATTGTGATGCTGACTATTTTTATTGTTTAGGATGTACTGATAATTTGTACATCTACTTGATGGCAGAGAAAATAATCTTGCTTGCTAAGTAATCCAAATTTGTTTGACAAATTGTAATCTGCTCACCAGACACAATATAATCTTCCTTGCCAGGTTGAATAAGATTTTTGTTCAAAAAAAATTAAATGTATTTAGATCTATTTGCTTAACAACAAAATAATCATCATTGCAAAGATAGTGTTCATTGTTAAATGAAATTATGTCTAAACAACAAAATAGTCTTTCTTTCTATCTACAGATAAGGAAAAAAATCATTCCCATTAGCTCGACTAATGTTCTTATCAAGATGTGGATCACAATCGAGATCCACAATCTCTAGCCCCCAAAAAAACTACGTTGAAAAATAAAATAAGATTCCTACTAAAAAGCTACCGAATGTCTCGAGATCTTTTCGGCTTGACAACAAAATAATCATCATTGCAAAGATAATGTTCATTGTTAAATAAAATTATGTCTAAACAACAAAATAGTCTTTCTTGCTATCTACAGATAAGCAAATAATCTTTCCCATTGGGTTGACTAATGATCTTATCAAGATCCGGATCACAATCAAGATCCACAATCTCTATCCGCCAAAAGATTTTCGTTGCCAAATTTTTTAAAAATCCTATGCAATAGCTACTGAATGTTTCGAAATCTACCGGCTTGACAACAAAATAATCATCCTTGAAAAGATATTGTTCATTGTTAAATTAAATTATGTCTAAACAACAAAATAGTCTTTCTTGATACCTACAGATAAGCAAATAATCTTTCCCATTTGGTTGACTAATGATCTTATCAAGATCTGGATCACAATCAAGATCCACAATCTCTATCCCCAAAAATATCTTCGTTGCTAAATCCAATAAGATTTCTACTCAAAAGCCATTGAATGTCTCGAGATCTTTTCGGCTTGACAATAAAATAATCATCATCGCAGAGATAATGTTTATTGTTAAATGAAATTATGTCTAAACAACAAAATAGTCTTTCTTTCTATCTACAGATAAGCGAAATAATCTTTTCCATTAGCTCGACTAATGTTCTTATCAAGATCAAAATCACAATTGAGATCCACAATCTCTATCCGCCAAAAGCGCTTTGTTGCCAAATACGATAAGATTCCTCCTCAAAAGCTACTGAATGTCTCGACATCTTTTCCGCTTGACAACAAAATATTGCACCTTGCCTCAATGTAAGCTTGTTAAGAGTGTTGCAAATGCTGATGCTTAAATGCGCTATCTCATTCGCTTTTGCGAGCATGAAACACTTATTCCCCTCTCCTCCTCCTCCACCAGCTCCGGATCCGGACGAACCGGCATCTTCATTGCCCTCAGCACGGTGCTGGAGCGCCTCCGTCAGGAGTCGGTGGTCGACATGTACCAGACGGTCAAGTTGCTGCGGCAACAACGAGTTCACATGGTGCAGACAGACGAACAGTACCGCTACTGCTACCTGACCACTTTGGAGTATCTCAACTCGTTCGACTTGTGCGCCCATCCACCAGCACCGCTTCTGCCCTCGCCCACTCTACCCGCCGGCACCATGGCAACCGGAGCATTGGCAACTATGCCTCTGGCGTTGAGCCGTGAGCAACCAGTTGGGCTTGGCAACGCGCCCTCCAATTTGGCGTTTGTCTACAAAGACCGTCGACTGGCCGGGCATGCGTTGAGAGGCCGATCCGGTGCCTTCAGACTGGGCAGTCAGAGTCCGGCCAGTCACCATGGCACCGCGGTTGTCAATCTGGCCAACGAGGAGCCGATTGTCATTCTGCCCGGAGGCCAACGACGCACGTTGGAGGCGCACATTCGACAGCAGAACAGCACCAACAGGAGGCCCAACGAGAGGGAATATGCCGAAGAGGCGGACGGAGGGATCGACGACTACGAAGCCGATTGGCCAATGTCGTAGACATGCCATTCTCTCTCCCTCTCTATCTATCTATCTATCTATACATCTATCTATCTATCCATCTATCTATCTATCTCGCCACAAGCTCACCTCAGTGCCAATGCCTCTGGAAGTCTACAAGGTGACCTCTTGAGCCCGCCAAGACTGGACAAGAGGTCGCGTAAAAAAGGACCCCATCGGAGGTGGAAACAGCCGAACAACCACGTCAGACTGAGGCGCTCCCAGAAGCAGGGAGGCCTTAGAGACGGGCATATTTTGTAATCAACCCGCGCTCTCTTTTGTCTAGCCCCACCTCAGCCCTCCGCCGTCTGCACCGTTGCAGAGACACACAGCGCGTATGTGTACATATTCACGTGGCCCAACCGACGAGAGTGAAGAGCACTACGGACACACATTTGCCCACATTTCACAATTCACAATTCACATTTCACATTTCACATTTCACATTTCCCATTTCCACATGACCCGACCGCTGAAGCCAAATTTCATAGCATCCCAGAAGAAGCCGAAGACCATTCTGGATTCGCGTCCTCCGCTGACGACTGTTGAATGGCATAAACTGCGAAACCCGTCTCGACTGAGACTTGATCGGTCAATTTATTGTATCCCGCCTTTTCGGAGCCACAGAAGCAGCAAGAAAATGTCATGTATGCACATGCAGTTAATAAATTGCCCACAATTGCCTTTTGGAATTCGGTGCAAAAGAGCTGAGAATCACATTTTCACAATGCACAGTTTGTTTCGGGATTCAAAGTGTCGAAACACTTTAAAAATAGGAAATCCTCAACTCTGCCTACTTATTGTTTGTCAGTAGTAGGACACTAGAAAAGATTAATAATAGCTATAGAAGTGGGAGGCAGATAGAAGAGATTGGTTGCCGTGGGCTTTTGTCTGTCGAATTGTGCCAAGATGACTCCATGCGGAGTTACCGTCCGTCATGTCGCCGACATCGTCAGCAAGCGGCTGAGATACTACTCACTTCTTTACGATCTCACTTCGCGATCAGATTGCGGGATTGTATGATTTGGTTGGCTAACGTGTGCTTGTCCTACACGCATGCAAGAGGCCTTTAAGCGATGTGGTGACAACTTTTGTGTATGTGAATAAAGTAGAGTATGATCCAGTAGGCCTGGGTCTTGGTACAGCTTCGTAGATGTGTGTTAGTGTGTGTATGCAACAGGCCCGAGTTGGTCGACAATTTTAGCTTCAAACACATACATACATACACTAGTCTTCTCCTCTTACTCAACGACTCATCTTCTTACCTTTCATCCTCTCCTCTCTCATTCATTCCACTTAGAAGCCAGAGCTAGTTCTTACTCAGTTTCCAACATTCGTTCCTTTTATTCACGATATTGTTGTTGTTTGTTTTGTTGATTGTAGTCGACTCATGATCTTCCGTTTAGCTGTCAAGTCGCCATATCCGCCACGTGTTCAGCAAGTTGAGATTTATGAATCCGTAAACTTTTGCAGGCGATTCTGCCTTTTGATATTATATTTTTCGAATTAATTATTGTTTTCGTTACTGCCAGTAAATCAGTAGTATGAGATGGATTCACCAAAATTCGTTTAAGCTGATGAAGGACTGGTAGAAGAACAATTTTCCCACAATGATATGAGTCGAGCGGACGTTTCCGTTGAAATT